TCCTAATAATAATTAGGACAGGATAAAAAAAAAAAAAATCTAATACCTGTTAAAAAAAATTACGGTGGAGACCGGCTTGGAGACTATGGTGAGGCCTAATAGAAAGCAGTTGTTGTTGGGTGATTCCATTATAAGAGGTGTGGAGATGGACAATGGTGGTCTTGTGAGGTGTCTTCCCGGAGCTACTGCTCACAGAGACAGGAGACGTATCTGTAATATTGTTAAGCAAGCAAAGCAGGAAGGGGAATTGGATGTACTTGTCCATCTAGGGACAAATGACTTGGCTTGCAATGAGGTTTCAGAGGTTAAGGAAGTTTTTAGTGTTTTTGCCAATGATATACGGCAGGTTGCTTCCACACTGTCATTCTCTGAAGTTCTGCCTGTGCATAACACTCAGAACGACAGGCGGATGCGTATTAGGGACTTTAATTTGTGGCTTGGTGAATGGTGTCGGGAGCAAGGATTTGGCTTTATTTCTCATGGTAGCTCTGTTTGGAATGGAGATAAGCTGTACAAAAAAGATGGTTTGCATCTTTCTCAAAAGGGAACAAATGTTCTCAGTGAGCAGTTCAGAGGTTTTGCTAGGATGTATTTAAACTAGGAGGGGGGGGCAAAAGGGTGATAAAACATCAATCCAATTGTCCCCCAAAACAAGGACAGAAGGTGCCTGTAGCAAGTGTGTTAAAAAATGATAAGCTTAGAGTCATGTCTACAAATGCTCGCAGTTTAGGGAATAAGATCCATGAACTTGTGGCAATAATGGCAACTGATAGTGTAGATTTAGTCGCTGTTACTGAGACATGGTATAATGAGAAAAAATGACTGGGACATAGCAATACCAGGGTACTCTTTATAGGAAAGATAGGGAAGGCAAGAAAGGGCGAGGGGTGGCCCTGTATGTGAAGGACAGCATAAAATCTAGCCTAATAAAAGTTAGTGAGGCAAACATAGAGTCCGTTTGGGCTACGTTAGAATTTGGTAATCACACAGTAACTTGTGTAGGTGTGATTTATAGGCCCCCAGGACAAATTGAAGAGTTAGATAATCTACTAGTTGAGGAAATAGCTAAAATGACAATGAAGGGGAAGTTATCATCATGGGTGACTTTAATCTTCCTGATGTAAATTGGAAAACAAAATTAGCTACTTGTGCCAGGAGCACACATATTCTAAACTCCCTACTGGGATTGTCTCTAAAACAAGTTGTTGAGGAGCCAACTCGTAAAGAGGCCATACTAGATTTAGTATTAACAAATGGAGATTTGGTATCAGATGTTACTGTAGGTGAAAGTTTAGGATCCAGTGATCATCAGTCAGTGTGGTTTAATATAAGAACAGTGACTGAGTCACACCACACAAAAACAAAAAAGTTTTAGACTTTAGAAAAGCAGACTTTTCTAAAATTAGAATATGGGTAGAGGAGTCATTATCAGACTGGAGCAATTTAAATGGAGTCCAAGAGAAATGGGATTATTTAAAAGTTGCACTATTGAAGGCAACAGAAAATTGCATTAGGCTTGTCGGTAAAAGCAAAAAATTCAAGAAACCACTGTGGTACTCCGCAGATGTGGCCAAAATAGTTAAAAACAAAAAGTTAGCATTTAGGAATTATAAAAAAAACCAGAGTGAGGGAGACAAAATGATCTATAAGATTAGGCAGAAAGAGGCTAAACAAGTTATAAGAGCTTCCAAATCACACACAGAAGAGAAAATAGCACAGTCAGTAAAAAGGGGGATAAAACATTTTTTAGATACATAAATGAGAAAAGAAAAGTAAAACAAGGATTAGTTAGATTAAAAACAAAAGAAGGAAGGTATGTAGAAGAGGATAAAGGTCAGGCTGACTGCCTCAATGAATATTTTGTTCTGTATTTACAGAAGAAAATGAAGGAAAGGGACCTCAGTTGAGAAAAAGGATAAATGAGTCATTTATTACACGTGAGTTTACAGAGGAAGAGGTTCTATTTCAACTGTCAAAAGTAAAGACAAATAAGTCAATAGGACCTGATGGAATACACCCAAAGCTATTAAAAGAGCTTAGTGGTGTACTAGCAAAACCATTAACAGATTTATTTAACCAATCATTGTTAACAGGAGTAGTCCCAGAAAATTGGAAGTTAGCGAATGTTGTACCCATTTACAAGAAAGGTAATAGGGAGGAGTGGGGCAACTATAGGCCAGTAAGCCTTACTTCAGTAGTGGGGAAAGTGATGGAAACCATGTTAAAGGATAGGATTGATGAACATCTAAAAACACATGGATTTCAAGATCAGAGACAACATGGGTTTACTTCAGGGAGATCATACCAAACTAATCTTATTGATTTTTTTGATTGGGTAACTAAAATTATAGATCAGGGTGGTGCAGTAGACATTGCTTACCTAGATTTCAGTAAGACTTTTGACACTGTTGCACATAGAAGGCTTATCAATAAACTGCAATCTTTAAGTTTGGATTCCAATATTGTTGAATGGGTAAGGCAGTGGCTGAGTGACAGGCAACAGAGGGTTGTAGTTAATGGAATATATTTGAAGCTTGGACTTGTCACCAGTGGGGTACCTCAGGGATCTGTACCTGGACCCATTCTCTTTAATGTTTTTATTAGTGATATTGCAGAAGGTCTTGATTGTAAGGTATGTCTTTTTGCTGATGATACTAAGATATGTAACAGGGTTGATGTTCCAGGAGGGATAAGTCAAATGACAAATGATTTAGGTAAACTAGAAAAATGGTCAGAATTGTGGCAACTGACATTTTAATGTGGATAAGTGCAAGATAATGCATCTTGGACGTAAAAACCCAAGGGCAGAGTACAGAATATTTGATAGAGTCCTAACCTCAACATATGAGGAAAGGGATTTGGGGGTGATTATTTCTGATGACTTAAAGGTAGGCAGACAATGTAATAGAGCAGCAGGAAATGCTAGCAGAATGCTTGGTTGTAGGGAGAGGTATTAGCAGTAGAAAGAGGGAAGTGCTCATGCCATTGACACTGGTGAGACCTCACTTGGAGTATTGTACACAGTACTGGAGACCGTATCTTCAGAAGGATATTGATACCTTAGAGAGGGTTCAGAGAAGGGCTACTAAACTGGTTCATGGATTACGGGATAAAACTTACCAGGAAAGGTTAAAGGATCTTAACATGTATAGCTTGGAGGAAAGACGAGACAGGGGGGATATGATAGAAACATTTAAATATATAAGGGAATCAACAAAGTAAAGGAGGAGACTATATTTAAAAGAAGAAAAACTACCACAACAAGAGGACATAATCTTAAATTAGAGGGACAAAGGTTTAAAATAATATCAGGAAGTATTACTTTACTGAGAGGGTAGTGGATGCATGGAATAGCCTTCCATCTGAAGTGGTAGAGGTTAACACAGTAAAGGAGTTTAAGCATGCGTGGGATAGGCATAAGGCTATCCTAACTATAAGATAAGACCAGGGACTAATGAAAGTATTTAGAAAATTGGGCAGACTAGATGGGCCGAATGGTTCTTATCTGCCGTCACATTCTATGTTTCTATGTTTCTATGTTTCTACTTACCATCTAACTAATTCTTCTTTTCTTTAGCTCCCAAAAATGCCAAATTAAAATTAATGTTGGGGTATTTGTTTAAAAATGTGCCTTAATCTCAATAAACCAGTTATTATAATTTTTTTTAAGGAAATCAAAGCTTTATTGATGAGTATATGAGTATTCACAACAGGTAATCAAGTGCATAGTATGTGAGACACGCAGGTCTCGATTCATGTCATCAATAGTGTGGCCATAAAAGCAGGGCCGGTGCAAGGACTTCTGTCTACACAGGCGAAGACACATTTTGCTGCCCCCAAAATGTATCTTCACCTGTCTGTCTAATATTACCACTTTTGCCCCTCTTACCAATTATTTTGCCCCTTTGCATCTTACCACCTTTTTCTCTTGTTTTCTTTTTTGTATATTGTATCCTGTCTGGCATTATTTTTTACGTGTTTTGTGTCTTCATCCTACTTTTCTTTACCCCCTTGCGTCACACACTCACTCGCTCATACACACACACACACTGACCATAACACACACACACTGACCATTACACACACACACACTGCTAATACACACACACTGGCTCTAACACGCACACACACTAACTCTTACATACACACACACACTAACTCTTACACACACACACTAACTCTTACACACACACACACACTAACTCTTACATACACACACTGGCTCTAACACACACACACAAACAGTCTCTTACACACACCGCTTATACACACTCACTAGCTGTAACACACACACAGTCTCTCTCACACACACACTGCTTTACACTCACACAGTCTCTTACACACACACAGTTTCTAGACTCACACACACTAACTCTTACACACACACTAACTCTTACACACACACACACACTGGCTATAACACGCACACACTAGCTCTTACATACACACACTGGCTCTAACACACACACATTAACACACACACACTAACTCTTACATTCACACACTGGCTCTAACACACACACACTAACTCTTACATACACACACTGGCTCTAACACACACACATTAACACACACACACACTAACTCTTACACACACACATTAACACACACACACACTAACTCTTACACACACACACACTGGCTCTTGCACACACACACACACACTAACTCTTACACACACACACACATACACTAACTCTTACATACACACACTGGCTCTAACACACACACATTAACACACACACACACATACACTGGCTCTAACACACACACTAACTCTTACATACACACACACTAACTCTTACACACACACACACTAACTCTTACACACACACACACACTAACTCTTACATACACACACACACACTAACTCTTACACACACTTACTGTTTGTTATAGTTGCAAAACAGAGGTCCCGCTGTACTGTTGTAGCTTTCCTCCTCTCTCCACAGCAGTTGGCCGCCGGGATATGATGTCACGTATCCCAGCGGCCTGTAGCTCAGGAAGAGAGTTGCCGCGGTCGCTCCTCGCTGTTCCGCCCACTTCCCTCAGTGGGTGCACGTTTCTCAGCCAGCTGGGCAGATAGCTGCAGAAATTGACCGGCGGGAGCGGAGTTCTCCGTGCTCCCGCCAGTCACTCGGACATTTTTGCGCCCCTTGGGTCCGTGCGCCCTAAGGCGGCCGCTTGTGCCGCCTTATGGTAGCGCCGGCCCTGCATAAAAGGTCTATTAATCATCGCATTACCCTGTGTCAAGTGCAGAACTGGTCACGTCCCCAACCTGCCAAGCGCCACCCTGCGCCATGTATTCAAGCCACAGCCACCACAACTCTGTGTGTTTGGAATCTTGTCTTATCAAGGATGCCTGCCAGGCATCTTCCACCTGAATTTCTACCCTATCTTACCATTGTGTCTAGTGGGCAGGCACCAGTGATTTGGCAGTATTTAGGAGATGACAAAAGATAGATTTTTTTTTTTTGTATTTAGCTGTAGCTGTCCCTACCACTAATTGTTAAAGTATTTTATTCCATTCTCTACGGTTCAGTACACTGAGAAAAGAACCAAGTAACTCCCTATCTGTTGTGCCTCTCGTCTGGTTGTTCGGTAGGAATTTACTTTGAACAAAGTTATGCCATTCGACAAACGAACAAACTACCGAACAACCAGGCCACCCCGGAGAGGAGCGTGGCACTAATTGACCTCCCCTATCATTATTCACTTTACCTCAATTGACAATTACGCGAACGTACTATGTATTCCATCTTGCCATAGGAACGCACCAGCGGTGTTTGGTCGTCGAGTGTCTGGAACCCAAATCGGACACTTGACCATGTGAACACCGCAGGGACCTCCATACTTCCACTCGTTCGTGGGAAAACATACAAACGGAATGGCATTCGGTGAAAGGATTCACAGGAACGCGGGGAATCATCCGACCCCAGGCAGAGCCCAGTATATTAAACAATTTCGTGATTTTCACCTCACGAACAGAGACCGTCCGCAAGGCCAAAACCCATGGAACTCTCTTCGGCTAACACCTTGTCTGTGGTCGGGAAAACAAAGATCTCCAGGAAACTCACAAACCCCTGAACCGATCTGGGTGATTTTTCAGTATGTTGCTCACCCAGATCGGGGCTATCATGGGATATGTAATTTATGGGTGTAGTGATGGTTTTGGGGTACATCCAGGAATTGGGTAAAAATGTGTGTTTCAAATGTATAGATAATTGTGTTATCTCCCAGGCTAAGGGGAGGGAACCTGTGCACTGTAACCAGCTAGGGATTGGGTAATTCCTAATTTTCTGTGGGTGTCTCCCTTGCATGGGAGGATTGCATAAAAGCAGAGTGTGTGGCATTAAAATTCAGTTCTGCTCCTGATACTGAGTGTCGTTGAGTTATTGGGAAAAATCTGCCTTGACGTTGTCAGGCGGGCATTCCCTCCAATGGCAACTAAATGACCTCCATTTGTCTAAATATACATAGGGATTAAGGAGAGAGTGCAGGTAACGTTTTATTTTCTTTGGTTTTTACTATATATTGGGGCTGATGTGTACTGTAGTCATTGCTGCCGGCCCAGTAGTGATGGAAGTGAGCGCAAGACTTCTCTTTTTGTATTTGTATTTACTTTGTATCACACAGTCTTGTTACAAGGCTGCCGCCCATCCCATGTGTTCCCTATTAAGGGTTAATAAGTATATAGGGGTGTATATAAAAAAATACCCATCTCTGTCTCATTAGAGATATATTTGCCAGAAGCTCAAGGAAGCAGGCTGAAGGGTCAGTGTTAGGACCCGCTTAGGGGGGTCTGCCTTGACGTTGGCAGGCGGGCATTCCCTCCAATGGCCATTGGAGCAACTAAATTACCTCCATTTGTCTAAATATACATAGGGATTAAGGAGAGAGCGCAGGTAACTTTTTCTTTTCTTTGGTTTTTACTATATATTGGGGCTGATGTGTACTGTAGTCATTGCTGCCTGCCCAGTAGTGATGGGAGTGAGCGCAGGACTTCTCTTTTTGTATTTGTATTTACTTTGTTTTTATTTATTTATTTACTTTCTATTCTTTTATTATACAGCTGTATTTTACTTTAGCTTGTTATTATTTTGTTTGTTTGCTCTTGGTCATTATATTTGGGGTAAGTGGATATCCTTTTGCTTGTATATTTTTTTGGATTCCACTCCCCTAGTACCTTGAGTTTTGGAATAATTTTTTATCTTTAATAAATACATATATTTGTTCTCGAAATTTTCTCCATCTACTCTTTGGGATTCCGTTAGCCTGTATTGGCACCCTTGCGTCTGCTATATAGAGCCTGGGATGGCTCTGCCAAATGTGAGTGACAGTCTGCTTTGCCCTACTTCACATTTTCTTATTACAGATTACACTATGTAGTATTTTATTTTATGCTTTTAGATATCACCTGATTACATTGTCAAGTTCAGGTTGTATTTTTGTATACATTTATTATCACTATTTCACTTTGTGTGGTTTGATATCAATTTTGCCTTTATTACTCACGTTTTTTGGTGTTCGGGAAAACACTTTTATATCTACCACTACTTTTATCTTTATATTCACGAAGCGCCTATACACTATTCACTTGTTTTTCCAGTGCCAAGCTAAACCAGACAGGTGGGGAAAATGTGTGAACTGTAAGAGAGATAGCACAATATGGCTAAATATAAATCTCAACATTATTTCATCTCAAAATTTAAATTTGTAGTTATATTATATAATCTTTGTATATAATATAAGTAGTAGTTATATAGAACTAAAGTGTCAAGTAACACTCATTTGTTAATATCTATTACCTTTTATAACTTTCTACTGAATGATAAATCATTCAGTGGTTTGCGTTGATGTTAATAGTGAGGAAAAGGACAGCACTATTTATTGTAGTATGTATATGTACACTAAAACCTGGAACAAGCACAAAATACATATTTGAGCTTATTATGAATAGTCTCATCCATTCACTTCATTAGTGTTCCTCTAAAATCTCTCTCACAACAGTTGAACTTGAATAATATTGTCTATAATAGGGATACATTTGTCAATTGCAGACCTGAGAGTAAGATGAATTTATGAGAATCGAAACATTACTTTTTTGGTGCTTTTCAATTAGTTTTAGAAGAAACTCTCTTTGGGCACTGGATCCTTAAAATTGTAAGAAAGATAAAACCTACCTATTCACGCATGTGAATGTAGCAAATTAAAATTTTAAAACCAATATTATTCTTACTAAAGGCAAACATACATGGTTACATCTTGGTTTATATTAGAACACTAAAAGGATTTTCTGGCTAAGCCAATAGACCTGTGGGCCACTCTATGCCAAATAAAACGTTAGCTAGCAATTTGCTTACTGTTCCACACTAGGAGAAGGACGTGGGTTGTGTCTTCTTCTACAGAGCTTTGTAAACATGAAGTGACCTTTCTGTAATAAACTAATTTTCCACCAGTCTGAAATATTCGAGAATGTCTTATGTTTCAGATCCACATGCACATGTGTATAGCATTGTAGCATTAATATTTAGTTTTACTTTTTGTATATTATGTTAAAATATATATACATTAACAGTATTTAAAGATTTCCACAACATTCATATCAGTGGTATGTTCTTTATGCTGGAAGGACACTATATTATATCAAATATAAAGTTGCACCCACTTGTGTGAAGGATAAACGAGCATTTATGTGAAATAGTTGGACTTGCATTGTGTTTGGAAACTTTGTATGTTAGGGTCATAGTTTTTATATGTGATAATGAATGATGATAGGAACTGCTGCAGGTGGCTAATTCAGAAGAGAATATAATGAGAAACAAGTGGGCTGAATGATTCTTGAAGAGTCAATCGAGATTGGAAACTAGACTAATTGAGGATGGAAATGCACATTGTGATTGGACATGGTGAGTCAATGAGTTACAGATCTCATATCTGAAGAAGGGAAGCATTCTGAAGATAATTCTTTGGTAGTTCCAGTATTTTGTTACTACTTGTATTGTAAATGTGAAGCCCAGAGCAGTGAACTCCCTGAGGCAGTGGGTTTAGGGTAGAGAATGAGATATTGGAAAGTTGAAGAAAGAAATTCTACATGCTTTTTTACTTTGCATTATGTTTTAAGCAAACAAATAATACATATGGTTTATGTTTAAAGACACATTGCCTGCAATTTGGTAAAATGGCCAAGAATTCATATGCTCATGCAGTAACTGAGCACCACACACCTACCACATATGGCACCTTTCATAACATTTAAAGAAAAATAATCTGGCTTCCCAGCAAGCGGGTCATACACATCAGCTATCCTAGAATGTGGAACTGCTGCCTTATTGTGTAGAGTAATTGTGGGGTGCATTGAGTGTGTGTAAGAGATGCATTTTGTTTATGTGTGTCGTAGAGAAGCAGATTGTGTGTGTGTGTGTGTGTGTGTGCGTAAGGGATGGATTGTGTGTTTTGGTGTGTCTGTGTTTGAGTAGGGATGCATTGTATGTTTATGTGTGTGTAGGGATGCATTGTGTATTTCTGTGTATGTGTAAGAATCATTGTGTATGTGTGTAGTATAAAAGAGAGTGTTTGTGGGATAGGATAGGGCCTGAGAGGCGAGCAGCTCTTTAAAAAATTTTTTTTATAGTGCTCTCCCCTCCTATCAATAAGTAATCTCCCCTTCCCTCCTGTCCCTTACTGCTCTCTCCTCCCCTCCTGACCCTTAGTGCTCTCCCATGTCCCCCTGTTCCTTAGTGATATTCCTTCCCCTCCAGGCCATTAGTGCTCTCCCCACCCATCCTGTCCCTTAGTCATCTCCCCTACCCCTCCACCCTTAGAGCTCTCTCATCCCCCTGCCCCTGTCCCTTAGTGGTCTCTCCCCTCTCTTCCCTGTCCCTCAGTGTTCCTCTCCTCTCCCTGTGGTCTCCCCCCTCTTAGTGGTCCTCTCCAGTCTCCCCTTGGTGGTCCTCTCACTCCCCCCTCTTTCCCCTTAGTGGTCCTCTCACTCCCCCCCAACCTTAAGATCCTTAGTGGTTCTCCCCCTCCCTTTGGTGGTCCTCTCAAGTCCCCTCTCCCCTCCTTAGTGGTCCCCCCCACTCAGTGGTCCTCCCTTCCCAAGCCCCTTAGTGGTCCTCTCCAGTCCCCCTACCCCCCCTTTGTGGTCCTCTAACTCCCCTTCCTCCCTCCATCTCTTAGTGGTTCTCCCCCTCCTCTCTTAGTGGTCATCCCT